AACAAGAACGTGACCAGCAGTGTGCGCTCGAACTGGAGGATACGTGGCTGATTGTTCTGTGTTTGTGTGTACACACAGCAGGCTCAGATAGAATCATAGAGTTGGCCAGATGGGCAGAACACAACAGCCAGACAGGTAGAAATTGATATTTTAAAGGTTAAGAGATGATGAGGATACCTGATGTTTGCATGTGAGAAATCTAAATATGTTATAGCAATATACTCCAAACAGTCAGTAGGAGCTAGAGCTTCTATAAGCAACATATCTAATTGTCACCTTCAAGGTCAACAACTGAAAGTGTATGTTTATGCCATATTTGTAAGCATTTTGTATGATCACCACACCTTGGATTTACTTTTCTGTCTTCCCTGTTAGTAGTTTGTATTAGTACCCTCCCTTTTTTCTGTAGTTTATAGAAAATACAATAAGCCCCCCCTTCGGGGGGCTTTATATTAAAAAAATCATAGAGTTGGAAGGGACCTCCAGGGTCATCTAGTCCAGCCCCCTGCACAATGCAGGAAATTCACAAATACCCCCCCCACACACACACCTAGTGACCCCTGCTCCATGCCCAGATGGTGGCAAAAAACCTCCAGGATCCCTGGACAAAGTGGCCTGGAGGGAAATCGCTTCCTGACACCAAAGTGGCGATTGGCATTTCCCTGGGCGTGTAAGAAAGGGCCATGAGAACTAAGCACTGAGGCAACCCTTCCTCCAGCCTCCCTCTCGTGATCTGCCCAAGTTCACAGAATCAGCACTGCTGTCAGACGGCCATCTAGCCTTCTGCTTAAAAACCTCCAAAGAAGGAGATGTGTGTGTGTTTCCTCTGAGGATGTCGCAACAATTGTTGGCCAGAGAAGGTTAGCCGGGTTGCATTCTATTTGCTGTGCTTGCCTGCAAGTACATGAAGACATGAAATTATGTTTTATCTCTTATGTATATCCAAGGAGCAGGGCCAAACTGCATGTTATGCTTTTTAAAGACTCAGCTTGGTTTCCCCAGACCCACCTTGGTTTCCCCACAGCCACGCAGCAGCTGCGGGAAATGGCTATTTTGCTCTTTTTGAAAAGAAAAGGGATAGCTCAAATGGAACACCATGGCTTGGAACACCATGGCTGAAGGAGAGGTCAAAAGGCCTTGGAATGCCACCACTAGTGTTCCCTCTAAGCTGAGTGAGTGTGAGCTGGCTCACAGTTTTTTAGCCTCCGGCTCACACATTTTTGTCTTAGCTCAGAAAGGAGGGCTCCAGAGCAAATTAATTTATGCAGCAGCCAAATGGCTTGCTCACAATTTTAATGCCAGCAGCTCACAAAGAAGAATTTTTGCTCACAAGACTCCACAGCTTAGAGGGAACGTTTGCCACTGCCACCACTTTCCTCTCAAGCCATTTTCCCCACACAGAAACAGTGCGGGGGGGGGGAGAGTTGTCCTCGATTTTGCTGCTCCGTTTGGAGTAATCTGTGCTTCGAAGCAGCAAAAATAGGGAAATAACTCCCCCCAGCACTGTTTCCATGTGGGAAAACAGCTGGGGGGGGGAGGCAGCATTTCCCCCCCTCCCCCTGCAGTGGCATTCCAAGCCCATTAAGGCTCTAGTTATTTCTAGTTAAAGCCGTTCCTCACAGCTGCTGTGCAGCTGAGAGGAACCCAAGCCTTTAAAAGCCCAGACATGTCGTTTTGGCCCTCAGGTGTCCTCTGCGGTTCTATCCAAGTGCAAAATGTCACTAATTATGAACATGCACGATGCCAAGTCAGAAGATTGGTCTGTCTAGGCAAGTCTCGTCTGCTCCCCTCTACGAACTCAAGCTGAGGTCTTTCTTGGCTCCGCTCCTGCCATGAGGTAATTTGACCTGGAGATGCCAAGGACCAAACGTGAGGTCTTCTGCATGCAAGGCGTGCGCTCGACTCCTGAGCGGCACTCCCTCCCACAAAGAGCAACAAATGGTTTTCCTTGGCGTTCATGCCGATGAGGCACATCTTTCATTCGTAGCTCATACATGCGGGCTTCGTTCCAGCAGAGTGTGTGGAGCACCAGGGCTCTTTAGAAGCATTTTTTAAGACGCTGTAACCCGATCAATCCGCTGCTTTGCGTTGAAGTGAGAGCGGAGGGTGGGTGATGGTGCCCGAGTTTCATCCTCTTGATCGATGGCTGTGCTTAGGGCTGCTTAGGGCTGCCGGACCTGGGTTGGGAAATACCTGGAGATTTGGGGGGGGGTGGAGTCTGGAGAGCTGTGCTTAGGGCTGCCGGACCTGGGTTGGGAAATACCTGGAGATTTGGGGGGGGGTGGAGTCTGGAGAGGGCGGGGTTTGGGAAGGGGAGGGATCTCAGCATGGTACAAGGCCTTTGATTCTACCCACCAAAGCATCTATTTTCTCCAGGGAAATTGAACTCTGTAGTCGGGAGACCAGTCATAAAAGTGGGGAGGCCTCCAGGCCCCACCTGGAGGTTGGCAACCCCACATGTGCTTGGTACTGTTGGACTGAGATTAGGAGGATCACATAGAGCTTACTGCTGTGATTTTTCCTGTTCAGGTGGAGATGTTTATGGAATCCTGGTTCCATGCATCTATAGCCCCTACCTGGATAAGATAGCTGAGCTAGGCCGATTCACATCTTTCAGAGTTCACAGTTTGGATCTG